CTCAGCTACCTGGACGAGCCGTGTGAGGAGCCCATCCGGCACATCAAATTGTACAGCGAATCATTGGCATGCTATGGCAAGAGCCCCTATCTGTACCCACTCTACGGGCTGGGCGAGCTGCCCCAGGGCTTCGCCAGGTGCTGTTGGGCGGGTCTGGGGGCTTCTGGGTGTAAGGGGTGGGGGCTTCATCTGGGCTGGGGGGAGGCTTGGGGTTCAGGGGTTTGGGGTCAACGGCCAGGGGTGAACAGCATGCATGTGCGAGTGATGGCTGTGGGGTGCAGTGGGTAGAATGGAGAGGGTGAGATAAGGGAGATAGTCAGGGATCATGGGGTAGTGTCAGTAGGCTAGGAATATTGTGGGGGTGAGGCAAGGAATGGAGTCGGGGGTCAAAGGGCAGGAGTCAGCAGACTATAGGATTGTGGGGTTGAGGCACGGGATGGGGTCAAGGGCTAGGGTCAGCAAAATTTGGTACTGATTAGTGACACAAGGGGGGTGGGGGTCAAGGAGTGGGGGCCAGATTGACAGGGGGATTGTGGGAGTGAGGCAAAAGGGAGTCAAAGTGTAGGGATAGGCAAGATTGGGGGGCAGGTGGATGAGTTGGACTGAAGGTGGCAAGGGGTCAAGGGGCAGGGGTTAGATGGAGTTGGGAGGTTGGGGATCAGCAGTGTGGGTGTGGAGCACTTGGATAGGATGGGGTCAGGGATCAAGGGGCAGTTAGTGGGTCAGGGATCAGCATATGTAGGAGCATGGGTCAAGAGGTCAGGCAAGGCTGGGGAAGCCCTGGAGAGTTTGGAGGGGGCCCCAAGGAAGCTGGGGTGGCCAGTTGCCTGCCCCTGATTCCAAGGTCCATGACCCCTGAACCCCACCCTCTTTAGGTTGAGTGCCATCTATGGGGGTACTTACATGCTAAACAGGCCAGTGGATGAGATTCTGATGGAGAATGGGCGTGTGGTTGGGGTCCGCTCTGAAGGGGAGGTGAGCAGGGGAGACCCCCCCCCCAGACCCTCTACACACCCCTTGGGGCTGGGGGGAGGGGGGCACTGTGCTTTGGGGGTGTGGGGGTGGGCATTTTCCAGCCACCTGGGGTGGGTGTTGGGGATGCTATTTGGCGTGTCACTAGTTTTGAGAATGACCTGGGGTGCCCAGTCCTGGGTCCCTGGTGCCTTTGTGGGATCTGGATCTTGCGGGGGGTAGACTGGGGTCCCCTGCCTCACCTCCCTGTCCCTCATTCCCCCTCAGGTGGCACGGTGCCGGCAGGTGCTGTGCGACCCCAGCTATGTCCCTGACCGTCTGCGCCGGGCCGGATGCATCATCCTTGCCATTTGCCTTCTTGCACACCCCGTGGCTGGCACCGGAGACACTACTTCCTGCCAGATTATCCTGCCTCAGAATCAGCTCGGATGCTGCTCGGGTATAGGGGTGGGGCCAGGGGAAGGGTGGAGTTACATAGGTACCAGCTTTAAGGCACTGTAGGGGAGAGATGTTGAGTGGTGGGAGGACACACCTATTGGGGCAGAGCTAGTTTGGGACACCTACTAGTGGTGGAACCAGGCAAGTGCTGAGCAGGGGGTGAAATTAGAGATGGGCATTCGTACAAGAGGTTGGAGGAGATAGAGTCAGCAGGGGGTGGGGCTACTGGGAGACTCACCTGCAGAGGGGAAACAGGACACTGATTGGGACATGCTCCCCAAAGATGGAGCAAGAGCAGGGAACAGCGCTAGAGGAACCACCTATAAGGAGCAAGGGGAGAGACAGGCACACCAGGAGACAGGAAATGCCCAGCAAGGGAGTGATGCTACTACAGAACACACCCACTGGGGGCAGAGCCAAAATGGGGCATGTCAACAAGTGGGCAGGGCTGGAGTGGGGATATCCCCACTAGGGAGACAAGGAGATCCCCCCCAGACCTGGGTGACCACAGCCTGTGTTGTTCTCCCTTACTCACGTGTGAATACATGTGCAGACATCTGTGTGTGTAGTGTCATTGGCTCACAACGTGGCAGCACCAGGGAAGTTTATCACCATTGCCAGCACCACGGTGGAGACACCAGAGCCTGAGGAGAAGTTGACCCTTGCCCTGGCCCTGCTACAGCCCATTGCACAGAAGTGAGGATCTCCCCCCCAGGAGTCAGGGGGCTCAAGGGTCAACAGCAGGGGTGTGGGGGGAGCACCTAGGAAGCGCAGCAGGATGAGGGGGCTGTGGGGATGAGGTTAAGGGTCAGCAGAGGGTGTGTGGGGGCACTTGGAAGTCTGAGGGATGAAATCAAGGGGCAGGAGTAAGCCATATGGGAGGAACTAGGGGGCAGGAATGAGGAGGTTGGGGTTATGGAGTGGAAGCTGGGGTTTCAGAGGCCAAGGTAGGGGGTCTGAGCCCAGGGTGGGTGTTCAGGTGGGTAGGTGGGGGACTATTTGGAGAGTATCACACCTCACCCCTGCATTTCCCCACCTCCCCAGGTTTGTATCCATCAGTGACCTCTACGAACCCACAGATGATGGGACTGAGAGCCAGGTATGACCCTCCTGTCCCCCTGGGACAGCCCAGATTCCCAGGGGGAGGTGAGGGTAGGTGGGAGAAGCTTGGGAAGTGCAAGAAAGAGGAAAGGGCTTGTGTGGGGGAGTGACAGTCAGGGGTGAAAGGGGTAGGGTGTATATAGGAAGTGGGAGAAGGGTGTATATATGAAGTGGGAGAAAGGTGGGGCCTATATAGGGAGGGGGGGTGGAGTATTTAGTAAGTGAGGAAGGGGTGGGGCCCATATAGGAAGTGGGGGAAGGGGTTAGGTTAGGATATGGGGAAAGGGTGGGATCTGTACAAGAAGTGGGGGGAAACAAAGGGCCTGTATAGGAGGGGGGTAAGGTTTGTTCAGGAAGTGGGGAAGGGGCAAGACCTGTGCAGGAAGTATGGGCAGGGCACACACAGGAAATAGAGGTGAAAGCTGTACAGGAAAGGGTTGGGTATGTACAGAAAGTGAGGGAAGGGGCAGGGCCTGTATAGAAAGTGGGGATAGGGCTGGTGGGAGAAGGGTAGGGCCCACACAGGAAGTGGAGGTGAAACGTTTGCAGGAAGGGGTGGGGCATGTACAGAAAGTAGGGGCAGGACACTGATCTCTTCCTCCCCCAAGGTATTCTGCTCATGGTCCTATGATGCCACAACCCACTTTGAGACGTGTGCTGACATCAAGGACCTCTTCCAGCGCGTGATGGGTTCTGCCTTTGACTTTGAGGTAATAAAGCAGCGTCAAAATGATGTCTTCGGTGGCAAAGATGAGCACTGACCTGGAGCCCCACATCATTCCCGTCCCGTTCCCCCCCCCCCCCCCCCCCCCCCCCTTGCAGCCTCCCTGGCCAGGCAGGGTGGCTTCAGCCCACCATACTCTCCTGGGACCAATGTGTGGAGACTCCCACTTCCATCCCTAGGCCCAAAATGGGGGGAGCCCTAGCACCCCCTAATCTGTTGGGGATCCCCCCACAACCCACCTTCTCATCTGAGCCCTTCTCCTCCCCTGACCTGGAGCTACCCAGGATTCCCTGCATCCCTGAGTCCCTGGGATGGAGGCACCCCTCAGTTACTTGGGGCCCAGGCTTTGTACCATCCCGCCTCCCCCACTTGGCACTTAACTGGGAGTCCCAGTCTCTTCCCCCATGGTGTCTAATGTGCAGTGTCTCCTCTGCACCTCAGCATTGGCTTTTTGAGTAATGGAGGCTGTCGATCATTCCCAGGGCTCTTAGCAGATACCTGAGCCCTCCAAGAGAGTGGGGGGTGTCTTGGATACTGGGGCTCCCCCCAATAGATCCCACACCTGTCTCCTCTCTCCCTGTGTGACAAGGTTTGTGTGCGTGTGTGTGTGTGTCTGTGTGCTGGAATTTGGCGGCTGGACCCTGGGGGGCCAGATATGCCTACCCCAATCCCTTTTTTAAATTTTTTTTGCTGCTTGTAATTTAATGTATTAATCAAGAGGTCCAAGTGCTGCTGCTCTTTAGACTGGGGATGGGAAGGGGGCAATGGGGATAATTTGGGGACCTTGACACCCCCAAGACTTTATCAATGGTGGTTTGTTTGTGGTTTTTTTTTGGGGGGGTGGAGGTGATTGCTGGGGGCCTGGGGAAGGGGAGCTCCTTTTGGCGAATTATGGAGGGGACAGGTCGTCGTCGACACGCTAGGTGGGGAGGGGGTCCAGTTTAACCCTAATTAGCCACGTTCACACGCCGTCGGACACTGCCTGGTTCCCTTCAGTCGCGTCATAGGAAAGCGCTGCCTTGATCCAGATTCACCCATGCGCGAGCCACTCCGGTTTCTTCTCGGGGCCTGTCCGCCCAGGCGAGCCCTAGCCCCGCACTTCCGGTAGTGCTCCCTCCCCTGCCCAACGTGCTCTGCCACCTTGTCAAACAGCCCCGCGGCGGCGGCTGGGTTCCAGACCGCGGCAGGCGATTTGCATAGCCCTACTTCCGCGTTGGAGACACGGGGTGGGGCCTTTCTCTTTCCGGGTGTCGCGTTCTCCCGTGCGTCACGGTGCGCGGCAGTGAGGTCACAACCGCGCCCGGTAGCAGGATCCCCCGCCTACGTCACCAGCAAGGGGTGCCCCCCCTCCTGAAGTCTAGGGATTCCCCAACTGCCCGGGCCCCCCTGGCCAGCACTGACCTGTGGCCCTGATCCCCCCCAAGTGCTGGCCCCTGCCTTTGCCCCCCCAATCCCAGGTGCTTACCCCGACCCCACCAGCCTTGGTCGCTGACCCCAGCCCCTGACACCACCATGGCGCAGTACAAGGGGGCCGCGAGCGAGGCCGGCCGAGCCCTGCAGCTGATGAAGAAGCGTGAGCGGCAGCGGGAGCACATGGAGCAGATGAGGCAGCGCATTGCTGAGGTTTGGGGGCCCCTGCACCCCTCTGTCTGGCTGGGGCCTGGGAAAAGGGATCCCTGGTGGGGGGGCTGAGTGGCTGGGGAAAGACAGCGTTCCCGCAGAGGGCCCTGGGCCATCCCCCAGACCTCCAGCCTGAATCCCTAAAGCCAGCCTGAGTTCTGGGGACAGCAGGGATCCAGAGGATGGAGGCTGAGAGGTTGGAGAGAGGCAGCGTCCCCCTGGAAATGAGTTGCAGGGACCCCCTGTACTCCCAAAACCCCAGCCTGTGTCTCTGAAGCCAGCCTGTGCAATGGGGGAAGGGGGCTGAGGCCTAGGGGGTGGGCATTATCCCCTGTGCAATGGGTTGGAGGGACCTCAAAACCCTAAACTACCCCTAACCCCCAGTCTACAGTGTTGGGGAGTCAGGGATCCAAGAGGAGAGGGGTGGGAGGCCAGGGAGAAGTGTTGTCCTCCAGAAAATGGGATGGGGGGACCACCTATACCCCAAGACCCAATGTGTACTCTCAAATTCAGCCTGTATCCCAAGCCCCAGCCTGTGGTGTTGGAGGGTCTGGGACTTGGTGGAGGGGGCCTGAGAGGTTTGGGAGAAACAGTAACCCTTGGGAAACAGGTTGGAAGGACCTCCCTGTACCCCAAAATCCCAAAGTTCACCCTAGAGCTCCACCTGTACTCCCCAAGCCAGCTTACGGTGGGTGGGTCTTGGACTGGTGCAATCATGAGAGACTCAGGGAGGCAGTGTTCCCAAGGAAATGGGTTGGGGCACTGTCAAACCCAGTTTATACTGTGGGAGCATCAGGGATTTCAGGGGGAAGCACTGGGAGGACTAAAAGCCTGGAGAGAGAGGAAAGGGATGGGTAGGGGTGAGATCCATTGGGGGTCAGTGGCAGAGGGGCTCCCCATGGCAGTGGGTGCAGGACTGGCCTGCCCCCCAACCTCTCCCCCAGGAGAACATCATGAAGTCGAACATTGATAAGAAGTTCTCGGCTCACTATGATGCGGTGGAGGCTGAGCTCAAATCCAGCACTGTGGGTAAGGGACCCAGGTGTCTGGGAGGTGCCCCTCACCCTTGCTCTGCCAGGTCCGCCCAGACCCAAGGAGAGAACCCAGGCACCCAGGCTTCTCAAACAGGCCCTACAGGGTTTGCTGAACCAGGGATGGGACCCAGGTGTCCAGGTTCTGAGACCAGAGAATCCAGGTGTCCTGGAGACCCCAGCCCTAGCCTGCCTTCCACATTCTTCCCAGGTGTCTGGGAACTGCACCCCACTCCCCCGCTTAGCCTGCCAGCCTTCCGCATCTCTTCCAGAACTGTGAAGACAACCCAAGCATCCAGGGGACCCCTGCCCTTAGCCTGCTCATCTCCCATGCCCCTCCTAGAGCCACGGAAAGAATCCAGGCATCCAGGATTCCCACTAGGCCCCTGGGATGGGACCCAGGCATCTGGGAGACATCCAGGAGACACCCCCCACCCCCCTTTACCCTGCGAGCCTGAAACACCCCTTCTGAAGCTGCAAAGAGAACCCAGGTGTCCGGGATTCCCACTAGGGTCCTGGCATGGGACCCAGGCATCCTGGTTCTAAGACGAGACACACCAGGCATCTGGGCTCCAACCCCCGTCCCAGAGAGGCCAGGCATTTTGGTTCTCAGGCTGGGCGACTCGAGCATCTAGGCATCATGGGGTGGTACCCCTCTCCTGCCCGCACCCCTCCTGGTGCCAGGGTGCCCCAAGGAACTCGGGCATCTGGCCTCCCCTCCCAGGGCTGGTGACACTGAACGACATGAAGGCAAAGCAGGAGGCGCTGGTGAAGGAGCGGGAGCGGCAGCTGGCCAAGAGGGAGCAGTGCAAGGAGCTGCAGCTGTGAGCACAGTTGGGGGGTGGGTCATGGCAGGGAGGGCCGGGGGCAGGTTGGTGGGGAGGGGAGGACCAGGGAACCCAGGCATCTGGGTTTCCAGCCCCACCTTCTCTTACTCCCCAGTCACTTCTCCTATTCTAGAGAACCCAGGCATCCAGGCACTCTGCTCCCCTCCACACAGGAAACCCAGGCATTCAGGCTCCCAACTGACCTACTCTTATGTTCAGTGACCCCGCTCAGTGAACCCAGACATCCAGGCTCCCAGTCCCTTCTTCTGTTCTAGAGCTCAGGTGTCCAGGCACTCAGCTCTCTCCCCCCAAGGGAACCCAGGCAACTGGGTTTCCTGCTCTGCCCCCATCCCCCCTCTGAGAACCCAGGTATCCAGGCTGTAGCTTCCCAGTCCTAGAGAGCCCCTTGCCGGAAGGGAAACTCCTGGGCTTCCCTTTTCCCTCCAGGGCAGGTGGGGGTATGGAGGGGCTGTGTTTTGGGGTCAGTGTTCAGCGCCCCCCCTCCCCTGGTCCTGGGGGGCTGCCACAACACCTTGCTTTTGGGACCTGTAGGAAGCTGGAGCGGTTGCGGGAGCGAGCGCTGAAGCAGGAGCAGAAGCGGCAGATCTCCAGCCTCAGCTTCTCCCTGGAAGAGGAGGAAGAGGAGGAGGAGGAGGAGGTGGAGGAGGTGGGGGGTGAGGAAGGCACTGGTTCTCCCCCTGATGATGACCCCGACAAAGATGGTGGGTCTGGATATGGGGTTTGGAACACTCCAGTGCTAGCAGGGGGATTCAGCAGGGCTCACCTAGCGTGCCCCCCTCCCCCCCCACAGAGCAGCCACCTAAGAGACGGAAACTGGGGAAGAACCCAGATGTGGACACCAGCTTCCTCCCAGATCGGGACCGTGAGGTAATGGGTGGGGGAAGGATCCAGTCATCTGGCATCTTGGGCTGGGAACCCAGGCCCCCAGCCCTACTTCCTTGTGCCTACCCAGGCTCCACTCCCCATCCCAAGCCAGGAGAGAATGCAGGCATCCAGGGGCAGGGAAAGGACCTGGGTACCCTGGGGTCTTAGGCCAGGGAACCCAGGCATCCAGGCTCTCAGCCCTCCCTGCTATGACCCCCCAGACCCCACCATGAGAGAGAACCCAGGTGTCCTGGCTCTGTGACCAGAGAGCACAGGTATCCAGACTCCCAGCCTCCCCTGAACCCTGCTCTGAGTCCTTAGACTCCACTCCCCACCCAGAGCTGTGGGAGAACCCAGGCATCCAGGCTCCCAGCCCCATTCCCAAGAGACCCCAGGCATATGGGTTCCCCCCCACCCCAGGTGTTCTGCTCCTAAGACTAGAAAACCTAGGTGTCTGAGCTCCCAGCCTTGTTGCTGTGAGACCCTCTTCATACTAGCACAGAACCTAGGTGTTTTGGCTCCACAAGTGGGGAACCCAGGCATCCGGGCTCATAGTGCCGCCGGGCCCTCCCCCCCCAACCCTGCCATGTCATGGAACCCATGTGTCCTGGTTCTGGTCCTATAATCCTGGGGTAATTTTGTCCTGGAATAAGCCCATGTACTGTATATTTGCACTGGCCTCCACCTGGCTTTGCTCCAGATTTAAACCTACCAGGCTTGGCTGGATTTTTTTCTGGGGGCCCCCAGGGACCCCCAGCCTTCCCACAAGCTCTCTGCCCCCAGGAGGAAGAGAACCGACTGCGTGAGGAGCTGCGCCAGGAGTGGGAGGCCAAGCAGGAAAAGATCAAGAGTGAGGGGGTCTGGTTTTGGTGGGAGCTCTGGCAGCCAGGCCGAAGAGCCCAGGTGTCCTGGCTCCTCCCGTGCTGGAGGTTGCCAAAGACAACCTTGGTCTTGGTAGACAAACTAGTGGGCAGACTTTTGGGGTTCATCCTGGGGATTCAGCAGAGGAGGGGTTGGAGATGGTGCAGTCTGGGGGGGCCTTTGGGGGGTCAGACAGCTTTGGGGGACCCTGGGGGGTCATTTGGGAGACTTGGGGGGTCATGTGGAGGGGCCTGGCGGATCCAGGGGGGAGTCATGGGTCCCTGGGCAGCCTGTATGGGTGGGGGCAGGGGGGGGGGGGG